CGGGGCTCCTTGCTGCTGCCGCGGAGAAGCCGGACACCCGGGCCCTTTCGGACTCTCGGAGGAGAGGGGGGGGGGCGGGGGGGCGCTCTCGGGGCCCCGTTCGGGCCCGCTTGGCGCTGTACGGGGACGAACTCGTTTGGAGGTGTTCGGCCGAGCGCCCCGCTTTTCTCTCCATCGCAGCTGCTCAGACAGATGTTTACTCCCGCACTCACCTCTTTTTTGTTCACCTTTTCCCTCATGAGCCCCCCCTCCCACCAAGGTCCTTGCTGGGTGGGAGGGGCAGGAAAGGTGTGCATGGCTGCAGGAGCTCCCTTCGACCGCCATGAGTGAGTGAGTGAGTGAGTGAGTGAGTGAGTGAGTGAGTGAGTGAGTGAGTGAGTGAGTGAGTGAGTGAGTGAGGAGGGCCCCTGGCCAGCACCTCGGTCTCTCCTCCCCTCTCGTTTCCGTTTTGCCCCTTCCGTCCTCCTCCGCCTGAACCCTTGCGCCATATGATCTCATACTCCTTTTGCTCCTCCACCCGTCGCCCCCCGTCCCCCCCCCCCCTCTCGGCCGGCAACCGCTGGTTTCGCCGACGGCTGGTTTCATCCAGCTGGTTTCGCCCGGCTGGTTTCGCCCAGCTGGTTTCGCCCGGCTAGTTTCGCCGCCCGGCGAAACCAGCTGCCGTCGGCAACCAGCTTCCGTCGGCGAAACCAGCCAGCTGCCGTCGGCGAAACCAGCTGCCGTCGGCAAAACCAGCTGCCGTCGGCGAAGCTGCCCGATCTGACCCGCCCGCTAAAGTCCGCCCGCCCGACCCGACCCGCCCGTTAGGGGTCGCGCGTGCTCGGTCGAGCGTGCCCCACACTTTCATGTCCCGCCCGATCCGACCCGCCCGCTAGGATCCGCCCGCCCGACCCGACCCGACCCGCCCGCTCGGGTCCGCCCGCCCGACCCGACCCGCCCGCCCGGGTCCGACGCCCGACGCCCGACGCCCGACGACGACGACGACGACGACGACGACGACGACGACGACGACGACGACGACGACGACGACGGCGGCGGCGGCGGCGGCGGCGGCGGCGGCGGCGCCGACGCCGACGCCGACGCCGACGCCGACGCCGACGACGGCGTCGGCGAAACCAGCGCCGGCGAAACCAGCGCAAGCGAAACCAGCCGACGGCGAAACCAGCGGGGCGAAACCACTGTGGCGAAACCAGCGCCGGCGAAACCAGCCCCGGCGGAACCAGCCATCGGCGAAACCAGCGGGGCGAAACCAGCGCCAGCGAAACCAGCGTCGGCGAAACCAGCTCATGCTTCTCGGCCATGCGCAAAGGGGAGTGCGGGGGGAGGGCGGAACGCCCCTCCTTCTTAGGAGGCACAGGCTTTGTCTGTGGATGTAGGGCTGGAGCTTTTCAGAAGCAGCCTCACTCAAGAAGCCGCCCCCCTCCCCCTACCCCCGTCTGCGCGTGGCCAATCACCTGGGCGACGATCAGAAACGGGTCTGGCGCACGATGACATATAGCGACCTTACGCCGCAGTTGACGCGGGCCGCCAGCGCGGCACGCCACACTGGAGAGCGAGTGCGCTCACGCGCGACCTTGCGCAGGCAAAACGCGCGCCAACGTCGGCGAAAGCGACCCCGTTTTGTTCCGTCGCTCACCTCGTTCCTCCTCTTTCTCCTCCTCCTCCTCCTCCTCCTCCTCCTCCTCCTCCTCCTCTTCCTCCTCCTCCTCCTCCTCCTCCTTCCCTCCCCCTCCCCCTCCCCCTCCCCCTCCCCGCCCGCTGCCCCGCGGAGGAGCAGCGGCGCCAGCTCCTCCTGGCGGGCGCACTCCTGGCGCTGCTGCTCGCGGGCGGCGCGCGCGCGGTGGGGCTTTTGGCGGCCGCCGCGGGGGCCTTCTACCTGCACGGGCGCCTGCCGCACGCGGGCACCTTCGAGCCCTTCTCCGGGGAACAGGCAGTGGCTTGGCATCCCTCGAACGCGTGCGTGCCTTCTTCCTCGGCGAGGACCGACTTTGGACCATCTCGCTGGCGAGAGAAACGCACGGAGCCGAGAAACGCACGGGCCGAGCGATGGCCAGATGACGTAAGCACAATTTGGTTCGGAGGTCCGCGCGGATTTCTCGGATCGGCGCCGGACCCCTTGGCGGCGCCTCTGGCGCCGCACCAGACGCGCTCCGCGCGCCACTGGGGGGGGGGTCCAGCGCCGATCCGAGAAATCAGTGCGGACCTCCGAAAGTTTATGCTCATGCCATTACTTGTTCCTCTACTTCTTCCGGGACTGGTTCACCCAGGATTATTTCCCGAAGGTGTCCCAGAAATTGCAGCGGGAGTTGCAGGAGCGGGCTAGGAGCCAGAGCTTCCTCGACGCAATGGCCTCGCAGTTCAAGGGCTGGGTGATGGGGAAGACCGAGACTCTGCAGGCGGCGGCCTGGTACGAGTTGGCCGTACGGCATTATCTGCCGCCTGCCTACATGGAACTGTATTTCATGCGGACCGCCACTGTGAACCTTGGCTCCGATGGCGCCGCGCCGAGCTACGTGACATTCTGGGGAATACACGACCGCTGGATGCTCTCGCCCCTGACCCACGTCGACTTCGAGAGCGTGTCCATCCTAGACCAGCTGGAGAGGCAGCAGCGTGCTCAGCGCTGAAGGCCCCAGGGGCTGGCATCCTCACCCGCCAGAGCGACGCGCCAGCGGCGCCCCGGCCACGCGCGGCCAGCTCGTCGCGCAGCTGCCTGGATCGCGGCGGGGTGCGGCCGCGCCGAACGAGACGCGAGTTCGAGTCAGCCACGCGCAGAGGGGGGTGGGGGGAGGGGGGAGGGCTTCTTAGAAGCACCCCTGCTTCTTCGAAGGCGCGGGCCTCATCTACAGATGTGAGGCCAGCGCCTTCTAAGAAGCAGCCTCCTTCTAAGAAGCCTTCCCCCCTCCCTCCACCCCCCTCTGCGCGCCGCCAATCGAGGATCAAGAGGTCATGATAATGATAGGCTCCACGATCTCCAGGGCTTCCAGGGTCTCCGAGTGCTCCACACGGGCAGCGGCAGCGAGGGCCGCCTCGGGTGCTCCGGAGGTCCTGAAGCGCATCCTGGGCCAACCCTGCCGTGACACGTCGCCGCGCCGCCGTGACGGGCGAACCACCGACCGTCTTGAAACCTTGCGGAGAGCATCCTGAGCAACCAAAGGTCGGAAGGTAGACATTGTTGAGCCATCTGTGCATTTCAGCAATCCTTTGCGGTGACGAGGGCGAGGACGGCGGGCGCGCGCGGCGTCGGCGACGACAGCGTCCGAGGCCCGTCGGCATACCCCCGAGGCGCGCTCGGGCGCCGAGGCGGCGGGCGGCCGAACGGCCCCCAGGGGGCCTGCGGGTCTTGTCGGCGATCGACGTCCGGTCCACGCCCCCCTCGCTCGCCGCCGAGAGAAAGGGAGGACGACGCCATGAGCAGAGAAGGACGAGGGGGGGACGGGAACCACCTCCCCCGCGGAGGGGACGGCAGGCCGAGCCACCAGGCAAGGGGGGACGGCGCGGGGGGGGCGCGAGAGGGGACGGTCCGGCGATCTTGCGTCGCGGCCTGCTGCAGGGCCCTATGGGAGTGTCTTTTTGGGGCTGGTAAGAGGCTTGTCCAGAGTCATGGGCCGTCCCGGTGGGGAGCGTTGCCGTCAGAGGACTTCGTGGGGTCGCCACTGGGGCGTCCTGTGGCCGTCCAGGGAGGGTCAGGAGGCGGCCGTAGGCTGGCCTGTGTCGAGGCCCTCGAGGGCAGTTCTTGGGCAGGCTTTGGGCCGAGCCAAGGCCCGTGCAGGGGCCCGCGGGGGGCGCCCGTGGCATCCGAGCCTCTCCCCCCGACGCCTGGCAGAGTGGGTCGTGCTGTATTTCCTAAGCCAGATCATGTCAGGGGGGCAACTCGTGCTTCGCTGGCACGTGCTCTTCGTAGCCGTTTTGGCTCAAGTCTTTGGGGCTCGAGTTCGAGGGAACTTGGCGCCGCGCCCGCCGGGCCAGCCGTGGGATTGCGTGGGCTCAGCGATGGCAGAAATGGACATGTCGCTGGAAGAGATCCAGTTGCGCTGCTGCGCGATTCCGCCGCCGCGCTCGGGCGGGACCACTTCTGTACGTTCCCCAATCATTGCTTGCACTGAAGGGGTCCTAGTGGAAGTTGAAAGATTTGGCGACAGTTTCCCGCCGATGCTGGTAGCAGGCTGGGTTCCCGGTTCAGGGTTCCCGGGTTCCTGGTTATTGGCTCCGGGCCGATTTCGGTGGGTTTGGGGTTCCCGGGCTCCTGGGTTCCCGCTCGATCTCATCAGCGAAAACCATCCATTGATTGGGGTTCTTCTCTGGTGTAATTGGATCAGTTTCTGCCTGGACGGGCAGAAACGCGGGGACTTGGCCACAAGCACGAACGCCTCGTGGGACTCGATACGTTGGGGGAGGCCCTCATCAGATTGCCTCGCAGAAAGGCGGGAGGGGGCCCGACGCACACCGAGGGACGGCGAAGTTGGAGCCCAGCCCTCGCCGATCAATGACTCAGGCAACTCGATGGGCGGCGAGGGCAGGGCTTGGACCTCGTCGAACACGTGGCGCAGTCCGAGCCCTGTCCCCGCCCCCCGCCGATCCGGGAGGAGCGATGGCAGCTGGGGGGGGGCTCGGATGCCGCCCACTGAGATGTCGAGGCTGCGGACGAAATCGAAGCATCGCCGAAGAAGTCACGACCAGAACCCGGGGCCCCACCTTTCTGCTTCATTCTTCGAGCCGGATCGACTGTGTGAGGGCGCCCCGGGGCCCGGCTCCGGGCGAAGACGCCCAGTGTGCGCCCTGTCGGCGGCGAGCCCGGGGGGAAGTGAGAAGGGGCGGGCCTTCTCAGAAGGCTCGGCAGGTTTCCTTAGCCTTCCCCGAAGACGCAGAGAGCCTCTCAGAAGGCGCGAGGGCTTCTGAGAAGCCCCGCCGCCTTCTGAGAAGCCCTTCTTCTTCTCACTCCCCCCCCCTCGCTCGCCGCCGAACCTAACCAGCCGCTGCAAGCGCGGTGGCGGATCCAG